ACCGATTGCATTGCCTGACGAATATTCAATGCACCCCAATTAAGATCGATTGTAAGCAGCTATGTAATACAGCTTGGTAATTGAGTATTATATACCTGGGAGCTATTATCAGTGTTAGCTGTTGTCCCTACGCCGGTTGCATCGACAGATATAGCCAATTGTTGGGTGGATCGGTAATGATTACTTGTGTCTGATAATGGTTCCCCTATTCGAAAGTTCAAAGGTCGGACCAGTTACACTTGCAATATTATACGAAATATCACATGAAGGATTTGAAAATGGGACATTTCTGAAAACAATGGGACGTTTCTGCAAAATGCTCAATTTAATAGGCTTGCAATTTTTTTTTTTATAAAAAAAATAATTTTCACACTGACAAAGTAAAAACCCGCGTTAAATTTCCGTACAAATTTTTCTTTGTTCGCGCTCATCCTTCCGTTACCATCGCCGAATGCAAAAACAGCCGAGTCGATAATCGAAACACTCGTCCGCCATAAACTAACTTCACGGTGCATCCCTCTCCCTGTCATCGAAAAAAAAAAAAAAACCACAGAAAAAAAACGCCTGAAACAATATTCAGAACGCATCAAAACCCGTTAATCCTCCATTTAAGTACAAAATTCTCATCACGAGAGTTCCGATAACACACCGGAAAGAGGGATGAGTTTGAACTATGGGCTAAAAAAAAGCGCTGGATATTTCATCTACGACGTAGATGATGTGCTTTTCAGTTTTGCGCGGTAAGAGGAAATTGAAACAGCTAACCGCTTTCGGTGCTAGCTCGAGAAGATGAACAGGAGAAGTGAGAGAGAATGGTACAGAGATAGAGAACGAGCGGGATGGAGAGTGAAAACGTAGACCAGAGTATTGAGAGAACAAGGATGACGGACCGTTGCGAGATTCAATCAAACGAACGCATATAAATGAGTCGTTTCAGGGCAAAACTGAATTATAAGCTGGGCGCTTATCCATATACATGCGCATCCCACAAGCTCTTCTACCCTTCCCTTGCATTCCAACACAGTGTGTGTTTGCACTTGCGTACAGGGGATGAATGAGAAGGGTTCAATCCCACAACCCCATGGTACCCATGGTAAACCTAACCCGCACTTTCGTCCCCTCTCGTGTCACCAAATGTCCCGGAATGCCCGTTTACTAAATCTCCCCCCCATGACTTTTACCCTCTTCTGTCTTCAGTCAGATATTGTGTCGGTTAAAAAAATCAAACGCCTGTGTAACTTGAAAAAAAAAAATTCTCTCACTTTTCTACACGGGATTTATTCCACTCCTATCCGAATTTTCCGCTGTCAATGTCAGTCTCCGGTGATCACGGGACCAATGGAATCAGTTGTATGATTTTACGGGATATTTCATGGACATTTTTTTACGCATTTTTATTTGGTATTAAATTACGTGAGTTGAACAAAAAAAAATCTCGATTTTATTGGAAATAAACTAAATTTTATGATTGAATTATCGTGGAGATATTTTTAAAGACACTCTGCGATAATTCGTTGAGAAATCTCTGGAATTCCATTTTTTTTTCGACAAAGTTATTGAAAATTTTGCATGGATTATTCAGAAGGGATATCTAAATGGGATATTTCACGAAAAAATGAGTTCGCATCGCGATGTCGATCCTCATGAGTAAAAAAAATACCCGCAAAAAGTTATTGCACGAGGATTGGCCCGAAGCGTCGGAAAATCGGAGTTCATTCGATTTAGTGACCTATTTACGGCGGTTAAAGTGTTGGGAGAAAAAAATCTTACATTTCGATAGCTAAAGATCACGAAAAAATAGAATAGACGTCACGACATGATACATTCATCATCGAATCGCAAATGTTCAATTTTCCGCGTGGATAATAAAAAGCTACATGGCCAGCAATATTGCACGTGAGAAGAAATTTTGAATCTTAAATTTTTTTTCCTTCCACGAGACATTTTCCATCACATTTTCTGCACTTCTATCCGAAATAATCACGAACATAAAAATCAGACCAAAACTTGTGATGTACATCATCAATACTCGGCTGAAGGACCTCAGGTGATTCGTTATGTATTTTTGAAAGGGAAATTCTTTGAAAATAAATAAATAATTAGCAGCTCATGCATAAAAATAGGTTGTCGAACATGATATGCAGTTGAAAATAGTATTGACTTTCACAACTACTCAAAGCCTCACATGAAAATATTTCACTCTCCCGAAAGGATAAAAAGTTCGAACGGGAACCTGCACTGCATTTAAATACGAATGATTTTTTTTTTCAACTCGTATGAATCTATTCCATACATTTCGTACATTTCTCTCGAGTAGAATATGCACAACGCGGCGCGTAAATAAAATAGGTCAAGCGTTATGTCGGGATGCTAGGTACCTCCGTACAGTGCACTATATGTACGTTGCGTCATATGTGGTTTTGTAACGCATCAAATTTTATCCCAGGAAATGCTGTTGACAGTTTCGTTTGTACACCAGTATGAGAAAAAAACAAAAGCGGGATAACTGGCGTCGAAACTATTGAACACGATACACGCCCTGTTACAGTAAAAGTTCCTATTTCGCTTTTGCGGCTGGGGATGGATGTCAGTGATGTGAATAGTTGAGTGTTCAAGTGTATTCGAGTATCATTCATCAGTCACTGAATTTTTTCATAGTTCTCAGAAATGATCGTTTGACAAATCTCCAGTTTCAAATTGTCAAAGTTATTTAAACTGAATTTTTTGTCTGTAGTGTACTGAATGTGTACTTAGAGAGGAATTTTTATCAATTCAAAAATTTCTACCAGAAAATCCAAAACTTCATACCAAATATATTATAAAAAAAATTAAATTATTCATATACGAACTCCAAAGCCAATTCTCAGTGAGAATGAATAAGTGATCCACTCAGCTTAAATGATGAGACTTTCGAGGAATGATAAAATAGTCATTACATTCAACCACAGAAAATTCAATTCAATTTTCAATGTCTCTTTAATTAGAAAAGGTTGAGGTATTAATAGTCATTCTCTTGAGATTATACCCCACGTTGTCTACCAGAATCCGTACTAGAGCACCGGAAAATAAATTGGATAGCAAAACTTGCGGCAAGAGAAGTCGAGAAGTCAGTGGCTAGTGAGTAAAAAGAATTAAATGGGAAAAGCAAATGTCAAGTAGTGGCACAGCTCCCTATCAGAGGCTAACCTATGAGCAAGAACTGCGCAAGACAAACGTAATTCCTGTGCTATTTCTCCTCCCTTTGTTCGCTTACTTCTCTGGCGCGGTTTCAACAAAATTTTTTGAAACTTTTCCATCCCCAGATATATCTCAAGGAACCACGACTTTGTGTGGACTTGCGAGGATTCACGAGTCGCGGACTCAAAGTTCTTTCTCCTTGTTGACGTTTCTCGGTCTTGAAGGGATTTTCTTCGCAAATATGGAATAAATACGCGTTTTCCAGCACGGATAGTTTTTTATCCGGTAGGTGAGACGTCATTATTCCGCAACAACAGGACATTATTTCCATTTATTAAATAAACAAATCAAATTTATGAAATTTTTTGTAGAATATTTGAAAAAAATATTTTTTTGCGTAGATTTAATCTGAATCAATTTCCTCCGGAATTTATGCTTTTCAAAAGTAATTTTTTGAATAATCACTTATCATTTAGCATATCTTAGCATATCTTTCGATCTTTGTGAGACTTGTAGTCTGGACAGTGGGGGCACAGCACGTATTGGTCATAAAATATGATGCATATGCCCAGGTAAATGTGAACAGAGGTATTCTTGTAAATATATCAAACTGGGATTGAGTGGCCACACATGAGAATGTCTGAACTCTATGTTAGGGTTGTGGCCCTTCACCCCAGCAAATTCTAGGTTCGTTCGTAGATATGATGGATGACGAAATAAAAACGATGAGAAAGGCTCTCTGATTCGCCGGAGAATGTGAGGAAAATGGAGGATCCTATCTCCATGCTGTTCGGATGGGTCTAAACATGAGTTTCGTAATTTTCGACTGCATTCGATCATGCGAGGGAAATATCTCATCCCTGTGCATTACACGAATATGACGTCATCCGAAAAAATGGGAAAATTCTCCAACAGAGAGACTTTTTTCTGGAAAAATTTCTGGAAAACTTGTCAGAAAATTTTTTTTATGAGATAAAAAAAATCGGAAATTAAAAAAATTTTATTTTTTGGAAAGGTATTGAAAAATTTTTCAATAATTTGAATAGGAAATTTTTTTTTTAACCAGGAAGCGACGATTATTTCTGGATGTTTAGTTTAACAAAGGGGGTGATTAAATTATTTTATTTATCATTCACGGAATTTGGGAAATGAGTGAGATGGAAAAGCTTTATTATCTAAGTTTCGAAATAAACACAATCGGCCTTGAACTCGAAGTGTTATTCTCAATTTGAGAAGTGTTCCGAGAATGAGAGATGAAGGAAGCGAGAGCAATCTCGTTTTCAGTCCACAAACTATTGAATAAAATGCGGTACATTTCCGGAGACTCACAGCGGGAAGTAAATGTTGAATGACCACGGAACTTTGATAACGTCCACTGATATCAGAGTCGTTCTTCCGGTTGATATAATATCCCCCAACTTTTCACATATATCAGAGTCACCTACGCACACATCTCTCATGTATTCAATCGTTTCAAGTCCAATACCAATGGGTGAAGTTGTGCAAAAAACTTCAATACTCTGTGAGAACAGCAGACATTTTCCATCGAAATGGGTGATTGCACTTGAAGAATCCAAATCCATTGAATTTCGTATCCGTTATATGAAATTGTTGAAAATTTTTCGACCATTTCCGATACATTTCCTGTAAATTCCGGTTACTTCAGAGTTTCATTGAATTTTCAATCCCCGAGGATCAGAAGAAAAATATCTCTCGAAAATTCATCAATCCCTGACCACTGGTTTGACGCGAGGTTTGAATATCTAAAAAATATCATGGATTGCGACTTGTTCTAGAGATCGATATGCTGAAATGGGACTCACCTTCATGGAGCTTCTCCAAGGTTCCCGCAGCCTTGACTCCACCAACAACGACCAGCAAAACACACATCCAGAAAACCCATGAGGTCCGTTCCTTGGTGTCCATCTGGTCCACGTGCAAGGGCTGTAAACAGACAGTAAACTCTATTACCCTGATTATCCCCATTAAATAAAAATTTACGCCAAAAAATTAAAAACCGAGGGCATCGAGCAGTCGCAGATAAATTTATTATCCATCACATGGGCTGGCACTGATGTACCATCTCCCATAATCGATGGCATTTTATCCCACCGGAAATATCATAAAGAGATAAATAACACCGACGCCGGGTGATATCCATTGCAATGAATTTTTATTCGAGGGTGTACTCTACCCTCAGATATTGCCATTTCACCTATGTTAGGAGGACCCTAACTCGAAAACTTTTTCCTGATAGGGAAGACGAGAAAAAATGGCATCTCATCAGTTTGCTGTCCCAGTGGTAGCTGTGTTTGAGGAGGTTTTGTAACTTTATGGCCACGTTGTACCCTGGAACTGGCCAAAAAGTGTGCAAAATGACGAATGATACGACTGGATATAGATATCGTTGGTGGGTTGTACGGAAAATCGTTAGCTTTTTGGTGGTGGATTTTCGGGGCTTGTTTGCACCGAGATAGATCCATTTCGGAGGGGAGCAAATATGTTTTTATCAGAAAGGGGGAAACTGTACTCCGGAAGAATTGCAACCCCCTCACACCCGGGTAAAACTTCGCAGAAGGATATCGATGGTGACTACGGTCGAGGGTATAAGTCTTAAATCACGTTAGATGGAGACCCATTCGGTGATGTGGGCAACATCGAGAGTTCACTGAGTGAAAAATCCACGACGATTCACGGAAAAGTTGGCCTGCGGGTTGGTTTCCCATCGGGATCTTTTCACCTCCCACTCGCCCTCCTCCCCATCGCCCTTCCCCCGGCTGTCTTTTCTTTTTTCTACCATTTTTCGTTTATTATTTTCTTTTTCATTCGGTGAAACAAAGTAACGAAATGGCGAACTATCGGGTCTATTAGAGCGATACGCTCCAAAGTTTTTCTCTGACCCTGTCTTGGAAGTGTACAGTGGCCGAGTTTCTGGAAGTCGTGAGTCAAAAGTTTTTTGAAGCCCTTACCAACTCGACTATTTTTTAACTTGGTGTTTCCTTCGTGTCCATGCTTTTCCTGGGTGTTTCAGGTTTCGGGAATGAATGGACCAAGTATACGGGGTTCTCCTGAAGACTGAGCAGTTTTTTGAAAAAATTTCGCCAATGGCTTTAAGTTTATTAATTTATTTTTTAATTGATTGCTTCTGCGATGTTTTTGGTAAGTGGAGAAAACTTTTATTTCCACCAATTATAAAGAAAGGTTTTTCTTTGTCAGATTAAATTCAAATGGATTTAACGTTTGCAATTGTTGCGAAAATTGTCTGAATATTCATAATTTCATTGTCGTGTGCATGACAAATTTAAATTTCTAATTAACTATTAAATAGCAATCACATATCCATTGTCGTGATAACCCGAGTACACGCAGTTGACTGTTGACGAAATCGGATTAAATTCATTCAAGTCAATTTTCTTGGAGTACAACGGTCTGTCTCAAACTTGATTTGAATAATTTCCAAGAACAAAGCACAGGTGATTGTTCATGGAAAGTTTGCTCCTCTCATTCTGTCACGATGACAGTGGTTGAATAATAAGATTGTACTCCTCATCTCTACACCGAGGATTTCACGTTCGTGCAGAATACACGTAGCACCGAGTTTAATTGAATCAGCCAATTTACCAAGTCATTTAGAGGATATGAGCGCAGATTGATTTATAAATTTTGAATATTGGAGGGAAAGTTATCTCAGCAAGTTACCGGTGATTTCATTCTGCCTTTGAATACATTATTATTCAATTTATTCCGAAAAGACGATCGTTTTCACTGGAGTAGATTATTTAACAATTTCATGTTAAAAATGCCTCACTCACAATCACTTTAAAAAATCAAAAACAAATCTGTGCATTTTTCGCATACGCAATTCTAATTTCAATTAATTCAACTTCAAAGTTTTTGAGTGTAAACTGGCATGTAAATGATAAGAATTGAAGGTGGAGTTTATCACGTTGAAGTAGCGAGAGTTCATTGGATATATTGGAAGGCTTCGTCTCAAAGCTTATGATACGTACGACAAACGGGTGCTTTACTGTCGGTCAATTGTACCTGAATGCTCAAGGCATTCAACAACCATCGAAACCTCGGTGAAAGCCTCGTTCACCTGTATGTACCAGAACCGTTCGATTTGGTACGTACACTAGTTTCCTTGTGCTTGAGTAAGCACGTGAGTTCAGCGTGATACAACTCAATTGGCATTTCCCAAACAAGCCGATTCCAACGTTAAAGTTACCTCACCCAACCTATTTACGTCCTTCTAACAGTTACAACATTTATGACTAAACGGTAACTTTGGAATTGGGGGTAATTGAATTCCACCGAGTAGCGGTCTTCCGAGAGGGACTGAGATAAATTGATTATCGGGTGAATCATCTTGTCCTGCAATTGTCTTGACCCATGGATGTCGATGCATCAAATTTTTTCAAATCAGTGCTCATTATCTGCTGATAATTATCGAATGTACTAGTACTGGGAATAAACAAGCAGTCGAAGGATCAGCTGTAAAAAATAAATCTGACCAATCAGGCATATTGCTTGAGGCATTAGTGAGGGATAACGAAGTTAACGAGAGCTCGGTTACACCGAGTTAGCGACTAAGGCGACAGACATCCCTGAGAAGGACAGGAGATCTCAGGGCCTGGTTACCCAAACCATCGCCCGGGGTTGTACCCAAAGCCTGGGGATGATCTTCCAGGCTTAAATCTTCTTGATTTCCTATTGGAGTGTGAGGTTAAATTAGGGAGCCACCTAAAGTTGGCTACTTCATGCCATCGTATACACATCCACTTCATTAATCCAAATTTTGTAATTTTCATTTTCATCATCACTATAACAATCGTTCAGGTTCCTCTGAATTTCCTCCTGAAGACTATGGATTGAGACAATTTTATTTCCTTCAATTATAGATCCTCTCGCTAACAGCTTTAATTTCCCCTGCGGCAATCAAGTGGAATAACCACTGTAAATAAATAATTCCCGTAAATAATGAATGCCGTGGAAGTGGTTTAATAAATAATCATTAGTTTAAAATATTTTATCGTAAAAATTGCATGGGTCATTCCAACAGAAGCAGCCCCTCGTCCACTTAATTCTGTCGGTCCCTCTTCAGGGGTTGCGCGCACTCGGATTAAGCACATATACAGCAGAAATAGGAAGGGACAGCATCTCGGATTTCAATTTCGTACATTCCAACCATCTCCCCTCACCTCCACTGGCCCTCACTGGATTTCACTCCCGCCCTTTTTCTTCCTTCTTCCTGAAAATGTTCGAAGAACACTCTCGAGCCCGGAGAATAGAAATGCGGCACGACGGTGAGGACCGCTCGAGTGCACTCGAGGGGCTCAAGGACGCTCAGAATCAATATTTATAATCTCCAATCTAGACGACTGCTAGGGTCCCGATGTAGGGTGTCTCGTCCTCACCAAACCTCATCCTCCACCACTATTCGAAAATTCTCCGCGTCAAAAGTTCAGAATCCCATTTTCAATCATCAGAAACTTTTCCGCGCATGATAAATTGGATGGAAGGTGACGTTTTAAGCTGGAGATTGTGAATCGTTTTAACTTTGCGATTTTTATCCAGAGAATTGTTCTTGGAATTGTACATCAGTGGAATAAAATAATATGATAAAAAAGTGGAAATTTAACGGACAGTTGACTAGTAATTTTTCGGAGAGTGACGAATTTAATGAGGTTCCTGCGGTTTAAAATAAAAAATATTTGAACAGTGGGCACTCCAGTAAAATTGAAAGCCGAATCAAGTTCAGGAAGAGTTGACATAAAAATGCCTCAATATTTTTGTGATCCACTCAAGCCCGGCTTGCTACCACACTGGAAACCACACCTTCCATAGAGTTTCCGGTCGATACTCCTCCGAAGATTGTTTCCATTGAGGTTCTTGCTGTTCCCTGTCCTCACCCTAGATCCCGTGGTTTCCATGTTACCACGGGCCTCAACCAAGAGTCACCTCCAGCTGAACGTTGGAACAAACGATTCCAAGAAGCTTCACTGGCAAAGTATGCCCCGAACCTCAAGACCGAAACCGCCCTTTGAAAATTCTCTAAAAGCCCGTTCAGGACTTCAGCCCGAGTACGTGCTACACCGGACAGAGTGTTCACCCAAACGATAGAAGAAAAAAGGTGAAAAATCGAGCCCTGTTGCTCAAGGCGGATTGAAAAAAAAGAGTTGAGTACGTGCCCGGTGAAACGCGTAATAAAAATTTGCCCAGTTACTGAAGGCTTCGTTGTCAGAGGTGTTGCTGAAGGCCGAGAAAATGGTTAAAAGAGGGAAAATAATAAGGCAAAAGGGAGTTTTAAAAAACGTATTACGAAACTCGTTCGCATCCTGTCTCTTGTAAAAAACTCTTGGATAATGTGTACGAGAATGTTGTAAGAACCATGATACTGTAGTGTGAAATTTTCCCTCATGAGGGGATGAAAAAAGTACATCGTTATGAGTGAAGAGGTTGTTTCAGTTAACACGAGATGCTTGTGCGCTAAATACCGGTGCGATGATACTCAAGTTACTGAATACATCATGTATCGTTTGATCTTTTATTTCAAGAGCTCAGATTATTGAATGGATCGATTTACATGCACCTGAAAAATCTACTTGTTCTAGTCGATTTTTAAGTTGATTCAATTTCAAGTGTAGAAGTGTACAAATACAGTGAATATTTTTAATTAAAATTGCATTGAAGTTGCATTGAAGTTGCATTGAAATTGCATTGAAATTGCATTAAAATTGCATTGAAATTGCATTGAAATTGATTCAATTAAAATCTCAAATGATATTATCATTGGAATTTCTAATTGTCTAGTTGTACCAGAATATCTTCATTTTTGCGGGCTGACTGTATCGCTGGAGTTTGGGGTGAGCTGAATCTTCGTTGTGATAATCGAGAGTGCTGTGCTTTTAGCGATAATGGGTAAGTACACGTGCCAGAAGCTG